AGTTTCAGAAGAAAAAAAAGAAGAAAATGAAATTCAATTTTTACCAAATAAAAAACCCTTACATTCAAATTAAGTAATAAATACAATAAATATGCTAGAGACTACAGAAATTATAGAAAACAAAACAATTAAATAGAGATTATTAGATAATTATAGTGAAAATTCTTTAATTCATTAGGATAAATCTAAACCTTTAGCTAAAATAGAATTAAGAGATTATAATAAAGAAATAAATTGTAAACCTTATCTATGAACAGAAAATGATAAAAAAGAATTTATAATGCATATAAATGAGATGAAACTATATGATTTAATTAGAGAAAGTAGATCAAAATTTTTATTACTAGCCATGATAGTAATCAAATATAGTGAAAAAAAAAAGAAAAAATCTAGATTAGTAATAAATTATAAAAAGTTAAATAAATTAGCAATAAGAAATAGATATTCAATCCCAAAAATAGATTTATTATTTAACTTAATAAGAGATAAAAAGATATTCAATAAGTTTGACTGTAAATCAGGATTTTTCAAATAAAATTAAAAGAAAAAAGTAAAAAATATATTGCCTTTAGTACTTCTAAAGGTTTGTATGAATAGAATGTATTACCTATGAGATTTTATAATAATCCAAGTATATTTCAAGAATATGTGACAAAATTATTATTACCTATAAAAGATTTTACTGTAATATATATAAATAATATTTTGATATTTTAAAAAAATGAAAAGGAACATGAAGAACACTTAGAAAAATTTATAACATTAATAGAAGAAAAAGGTTTAAATATATCACCTAAAAAAGTAAAATTAAGAAAATATAGAATTAAATTTTTAGGACAATATATAACAAGTATTGGGATAGAACTACAAGACCATATAAGTAAAAAAATCTTAGAATTTCCTGAAATAAAAAATAGAAAGAATTACAATCATTTTTAGAATTAGTAAATCAAACTAGGAATTATATTCCTAATTTATCAAAATTAACTGCTAAAGTGAGTAAATTAACAGGAGAAAAATAATATCAAAATGGGATAAAGAATTAGAAAAAATAATAGATCAAATAAAATATTTATGTCAAAATTTACCTAAATTAACTATTCCAACTAATAATGATGTAATTTAGATAATACATACTGATGCTTCAAAAAACTATTAGGGTGCAGCCTTGTATCATAAAAATGAAGAGCAAAAAGAATTAATAACTAGATATGCTGGTGAAAAATTTAATGAATCTCAAACTAAATATTATTCTAATTGAAAAGAATTTTTGGCAATAGTAAAAGCTATAGAAAAATTTGAATTATTTATAGCTAATACTTGATTTATTATAAAAACTAATAATACTCAAGTAAATCACTAGCTAGATAAAGGAATAAGGACAAATAAATTAAGTAAAAAATGTTAATTAAATGGCAAGGTGATATGTCATACTATGATTATGAAATTGAATATATAAAAGGAAAAAATAATTTAATTGCTTGTTATTTGAGCAAATGGAGCCAAATAGCGGACAAACCAGTATGAGGACAAGTAATAGTGGAGGTTCTCCTAAAGAATTAACTCCACTAAAACAAGTAATAAGGAAGGTTAATATTCTTGAGATGAATATGACCCTTCTGGCAAGTCAAGTAAGTACAAATATCCAGAATTTATCTAGGTCAATATCTCAACTCTCTTCAAAGTTGAATAAATTGACAAGTAAGGTGGATTCTATGAAGGAACAATCAAAAAGACCAGTAGCTGATGTTTCAACTCAAACATCTAAAATCCAATAGTATCAATCTCACAGCCCAACTACTAGACAAGGCCCAATAACTCCTTTCACAGAAATAGTAAAGGAAGCCTAGAAAATTCAACCTTAAATAGAAGTTCAAACACCTCAAAATAGTCCATCAACTTCTACCTTTTTCTAAGGGAAGTTCTCCAGTATTATCAACATTTAAAACGCTTAATCAGTATAATTTCCTTAAACTCCTTATATATAAGATCAATCATTTTCTACTTCCAAAATCCAATAATATTAAGTATGTCTCCCATTATTCCTTCAACAAAGTATTTATCTAGGAACCTCTCCAAAACTTGTAAAAACTTTATATAGTTATGGCCTCCTACACTCATTATATCCTTCCAGTGATATTCAGAAATATTTCAACTTCCAAAATCTATCCAAGAAGCTGCAAAACATTATTTTGAAATTATAACCCAATGCCAAGTATATATCAGATATTACTCTACAATAACTGAAATAACTCTAAAAAAATTTTACCTTCCAATTAGTTTAATTAAATCTGGGACTACAAAGAAATCTTTTGAATGTGAAGAAGAAGAGAAAGAAGATATAGAAGATGATGAAGACTTCTAGTACAAAGTTTCTACAATAAGAGTTCAAGAATTTTATATTATTTTCCAAGAAATGAACAGGACTATGACTACCGATGAAGCCCAATGGACATACTTTACTGGACCAACAACATTTATATACTTAGTTAGAAAAAATAGTAGGATGGCTAGGAACTTTAATCAATGGTATGAAAGAATAAAAAGTAATTAAATGGAAAATCCATAAAACACCAAAAAGAAAATTTGTCAAGTATTATTTGAATATGTAAATCACAAATGTAAATACTGTGATGAAAGAAGAATCTCATAAAGAGACTATGAAGATCCCACCATTAATTTAAACATTTTGGAATGATCTATCGACAAGAGTAGCTGGTGGCAGACAAGATAAAAAGTAGTCAAAAGTAGCAGCTAGTGGTAGACAGGATAAAAAGTAGACAAAGTCTAGTGAAAGATAGGAATGATAGGAAAAAAGAAAAAAGTTATTTTATCTTTTGTAATTAATCAAAAGTAAGTTTGTCCTTTATACTCATTTTAAGATTAAAAGTAACTTAAGTTAAGCTTGTAACCAGAGTTGGAATACCAACTCTATATAAAGCCTTGTAATCTTAGAGGCAACACACATCTCACCAATGCCTCAAATTCTCTCTTGTAACTGAGTTCAAAATTCTCTGATATCTTCTTCCTTATTATCAATAAAATTATCTTTCAATTATTTTTGTCTTTGCAAGTATTGAAGATTAATTCAGGTATGGTTGAGTAATTTCTTTTTAGAGATTAATGAGAGATTATTATCTAATCCCTAACATAGTGATAATTCTGTAATGATCCTATAAAGGGTTGCTGGTTATATGTTATCATAGTTACACCTTTTATAGGAAATGAAGGAAGGCTGTGCTATGACAATCTGAAGGGGAAAGGCATGTGCCAGATTACAATTTTGACCTGATAATTCTCTATATGAAAGAGGACAACGATCCTTTCATGACTTGGATCATTCATGGTTAAGCCCTGTGATAGCATATAGCCAACTAGTTTAGTTATGGTATCAGAGTTACTATAGTTATAAGTCCTTGCCCTTAAAGAGGCATCCAGATCAATGGGGAGTTTTCATGGATACCATACCGTGAGAACTCATACCATAACGTCGGTAGACCCCCAAAGGGGTGTAACAGTGGAAGGTCCTTTAGAGATACCTTTTGCGTATGTTGCCTCTCAATAACTACACCCTTACGGACCTTACCCGTGAGCCATCCTGGGGATAAGAGCCAGTACTTTATCACAGCCTCATACCGTGAGAACTCCTCGTGGATCTGGATGCCTCTTAAATGGTGAAGACTTATAACTAGTTAGCTAAGGTAGATATGCATATTTTGAAAAAAAATTACAGTTTTGCCCCCATTTTGGCCAATTATTTCCTGTTTTGTCCTTACGCTTCCTTGTGGCATAAAATGCAATTTTCACTTGTGAATTGAGCTCAATCAATGCTTATTTTTAAAAAAGTTTTTAGTAGGATCTTAACTTTCATTTTTCTTTCCAATGACCTTCTATCTTTTTTACTTAATTAAGTCTTTTCTTTGTTATATGAAGTCATAGGATTAAGGGTTCCTTATTGAGTATTATAATTGTATAATATATTCTAGTAATTTCAAAGTGGACATTACAACACAAGTTCCAATAGTAGTTAATCTACAATTACAATCATTAAATATTATCAATGACTAATCATCATTAATTAACTATTAATCACAATTAAAGCCTACAACCCCATTAATGGCATTGAATATAAATAACATTATTCTTGACTTCCATTAACTTATCATATTGCCCTTGGGTATAATATTTCGATATTATTTGAGATATATTGGAGTATTTTGAAAGTTAAACTCTTATTTAGGAAACTTCTATGAACAATGATAACTTTTATTTACTAAGTTGAATTATTTATATCATAATAATATCTTTTTTATTATGGTAATCGGGTTAAAGTTTGATTTTATATATGTTTAAAGAAAATCATTTTCTACTAGGATGATATTTTTAAACTAATTGGTTTCATTCTTTTCTATTATGGGAATGATTTTATGAGATTATTTCATTTTTAATTACCATAGTAGAACTAAGTTTTTTATGGATTATAACGTAGGGTGTTATATGGATAATCAATTTATAAAATTTTTTAATATTAAATTTAAATCATTAATATTAAATCTAAAACGTACAGTTTAATGACAAAATTAATTATAATTTTTTATAATTTTTTTCCTTTAATAAATATAAAATAAAAATATTAAATTTCTAGGGGCCTGTTTGCCAACCTATTTTTAAAACAATTTTTTATTTTTAAAATAAAAAAATAAAAAAATTTATTTGGTAATGTATTTTCAAAAAGTATTTTAAAAAACAAAAATAAAATAAAATATTATTTTGAAGAATAGAAAAATAAAAACAACTTTCAAATATTTCAAAATTATTATTCTGTAGAGTAAGAAAGAATAAAAAAAATATCTATTTTTATTATTTTTTATTCTTAAAATATATTTTATAAAATATTAATTTTTAAAATAATAAAATAAAAACAATTCCAAACCATTCTTAAATTTTCTCTCGCTGCGGTGAGAAGTTCGCTTGGAGATGGTTTGAACTTTGAGGTTTGAACTGGAACAATTTTATGGCCGAAAATACAAAAACTATGACATTTTTCGCGCGCGCATGGATATGTAAATAAAATCTTGGCTCTGCGCTGTGCGAAGTCCGAACTGCGAACTCGAAGAAACTCAGACCAGAAAGCAGAAACCCTCGGGTCCTCGAGGACCTCGACGCCTTCTCCTTCTCTTATCCTCTCTGCCTACTATCTCGGCCTCTGCAGCTCTGCCCTCTGATTCTCTTCTCTTTGTCACCTCCTTCTCTCTAATCTGCATCTCGATCCTCTCCGCCTTCTCGCGATCCGCGGCCCTTCGTGTCCCCCGTCGCCCTTCGCAATCGGAGAAGGTTCGTCTTCGTCGCCTCCCTTGTTTTATTTTTCGTTTTTCTCTGTCTTCCCTTCGCAATTATGTTGAGCCATGATTATGATGATGTGAAGTACATCTCGGATAAGACTTTGCTTTAATAGGCCTCCTCACGTTTTTATCATAAATTTTAAAGGGTGCAAGGTTGTCTTCTTGCTTGCTTGCTCTCGCTAATTTCTTCATACGGAAGTGAGAGGGGGAAGTAAATTTGCAATTTTCTTAGAAGGGCTTTTACTTGAAATCATCTTTTTTGTACATTGCTGCTGTTCTTATTCGTTTCCTTTTGTGTGTGTCTTTGTATTCTGTAACCATAAGCTGACAATACTTGGTTAATAATAGTCTTCAATAGAAAATTCATATTTGCGTATCACTTTAGACCCCAGTCATAGCAGAAAGGAGAAATCTTGAAGTGGAAGCAAGAGATGGCGCCAATCGTTCAGAGCTCCCAACCATGGGTGGAGAAATAGTACGAATTTATTCTTTTCCTTCCTTATGTAATCAATACTCTACTTTATTTTGCTTAGATTTATCTCTACTATGACCCCAGTCGGCCAAAGCAAGTTAAAGATGTAGCCCACCAGCATGAAGTGGTTCGAGTACTCACAAGCACTCTCGAAACTGGAAGTGTAATTACTTATTCCCCTTTTAGTCGCATTTCTCTGAGTCAATTTTGCTGGCATCAAAATACACTTTTATCTTGGTTTTTGGTTTATTTCTGCGAGCCTATTTTGCTTGCATGAAAGTCCCTTTTTCTTTTTACTACCCGATGTAATTACTTCAATACTGTATATTACAGTGCCCGCACATGCTCTTCTATGGTCCACCCGGCACTGGAAAGACCACAACTGCACTTGCGATTGCCCATCAGCTTTTCGGGTATTTTTTCGTCTGATAAACGTGAAAGCACATTTTTGGTGTACATATGCATGAATGGAGCATTGAAACTTGGTAATTTTGCCCTTTGAATACATATGGCAAACAGAAGATTTCTCATTATAAAACAAAATTAGTAAGTCAGTTATATCTAGTCATAAAGATATATGGGCTATGGAGAAAGAAACATGCACTTCATTTCATGCACTGCAGCTTATGGCAATAAATTACCTGAAATACTCATGTTTTAAAAAATTGGAAAGAATGAGATAGATTCGTGAGTTTAGAGGAGTATTCATGAGTTTATTTGGTATTCATCAGTAATTAGTGCGCTGTTGCTGTCTCCCTTCACTTAGCCTTGTAAGATGATATGCATAAGTGGGTTCTAGTATCTTTAATTCATCAATCAGCTTAGCTGTCATCTTGACAATTGGCCACCTTTTTATCTTGCAGACCTGAGCTTTACAAGTCTAGGGTGCTGGAACTGAATGCAAGTGATGATCGTGGGATTAATGTTGTGCGGACAAAGATAAAGGATTTTGCTGCCGTGGCTGTTAGTACCAATCAGCGTAAGAGGTATGCCATATTGTAATATCATAGGACCACCACCAATAACAGATATTAAAGAGACCAATAACAGAAAAATGAAGAGAAATCCACCGGTATCCTCTATTACTAATGGAAAATGTAGAGAATGCAATCACTAGTCAGCTTCACACACACTATTTCCTATCTCAAACATCACACAGAAACGGAAAACAAGAAAGAGCCTCCCAAACAACCTGGTTTTCGAGAGACCAGGTCCTCTCCCCAAAGAAGATGCTACTCCCTACCCTCCTGTCACTCCTTGCCCTCCTTTTTAACCCCCTCCACTATCAGGCTTTGTTAATTACTGTATTTTCCCCATTCTGCCCTTGTCTCCCCTGTCCTTGAGTATCTCCTTTGGGCCTCCGTTTGTATACACGCCCCCACTTGTTGGAAAGCCCAACATTCCCTTCCTCTGCAAGCAACACCTTGTCCTCAAGGTGAAAGTGGGGAAATTGTGCCTTAATCAGCTCTGCATCTTCCCATGTGTTCTCATGGTCGGGTAGATCTTTCCATTTAATTAAGATCTACAGCTTTCCATTGCTTGTTTTCCTCACACCCTTGACTTCCTCTGGCTGAATTTGCAACTCCAGCTTCTCAGCAAGGCCCTTAGGGAGGGGCTGAGCAGTGACTGAAGGTTTCAGAGCCCTTTTCAGCTGAGATATGTAGAAGACATTGCGTATTCGAGCTGTTGGAGGTAACTTTAGCCTATATGCCACCTTTCCAATCTTCTCCAAGATTTCATAAGGGCCGTGGAATTGGGGTGACAGCTTCTCATTAGGCTTTTTGGCTAAGGATTTGTACCTATATGGCTTCAGTTTGAGGTAGACAAAATCCCCTTCCTCAAATTGGGGTTCCCTTCGGTGCTTGTCCACTTGATTCTTCATCCTTACTTGAGCTTTTTCTAGCTGTCGCTTGAGCTCATCCAGACTTCCATTTTAAAAGTGTCGGTGGATCCCTTCCATAAAGCGCTTTGAAAGGATTGGTCTTGGTAGCATTGTGATAAGTAGTATTATAACAATATTCAGCCCAAGGTAACATCTTAGCCTACTTTTTGGGGTATTTCCAGCAAAACACCTTGAAGTAAGTCTCTAAAGTTTTGTTGATGACCTCGGTTTTCCTGTCAATCTTAGGGTGATAGGAAGAACTAAACTTGAGTGTGGTTCTAGCCAAACTAAAAAGCTCTTTCCAGAATTGACTTATGAAAACACGGTCTCTATTGGATACAATAGAGATCAGAAACCTATGTAGTTTGATAATCTCCCATACCATTAAATCAGCCACTTCTCTAGCCCCATATGGATGAGATAGGGGAAGGAAGTGCCCATACTTGGTTAAATGATCAACTACCATCAAAATCATGTCAAATCGGCCACTTTTAGGTACAACCCCCCCAAAAAAAAATCCATACTAATATCTTCCCATGACGCTTGGGGAATAGGCAAAGGTTGCAAAGGCCTGGAGGGACTTAGAGCCTCATACTTGTTGCGTTGGCAAACTTCACATCGCCTCACATACTCTTGACTATCTTTCCTCATGCCTTCCCAAAATACCATTGTAGCAAGACGTTTGTAAGTCCTCAGATACCCCGAGTGGCCTCCCACAGGTGAATCATGGAATTCCCTAATCAATGCTGGAATTTTTTGGGAGTTTTAAGGCAGCACCAGCCTTCCTTCGAAATAAAGCATCCCTTGTCTCATAGTATATCCCTTTGGTGCCTTCTTCTCCTCTATTAATTGCTTCATGATCTCACGGAGATGTGCATCTTCTAAAATTCTAGCAACCAGCTGATCAATCCCTTCATACTGCCACATGGACACAGCTCTTAGTTCCATTTCTATATCGTGTCGGGAGAGTGCATCAGCCACATTGTTCTCTCTTCCGAGCTTGTATTGGATTTGGAATTTTGTTACCCACGAGTTTTGTTACCCACTTCTGCTGATCAGGTGCTAAGACTCACTGTTTGAGGAGGCAGTTGAGGGCTTTCTGGTCGTGTTTTTATGGTAAAAGGGTGGCTCGATAGGTAATGTTGCCACTTCTTGACCGCTAACACGATCACCATTAACTCTCAATCATAAACAGAATTTTATTGACTTTTTTCAGATAATTTCTGACTGAAATAAGCTATAGGGCGTCCTTTCTACTTCAGAACAGCCCCTTCTCCTTTTATCGAAGCATCTGCTTCTACTTCAAAAGGCTAGTTGAAATCAGGCATTGCTAAAGCAGTCTGAGTTGTCATGGCTTCCTTGAGATCTTTAAAAGACTTTTGGGCCTATTCATCCCCAATTGAAAGAGTCTTTTTTGAGCAGGTGAGTCAATGGAGCTACTATTTGGCTATATCCATTCACAAACTTGCGATAGTATCTTGTGAGAGCAAGAAACCCCCTCAATGCCCTCAAATTCTTTAGCTCAGGCCACTGTAGCATCGCTATGATTTTTGAGGGATCCGCTTTCACTCCATCAGAAATGATGTGTCCCAAATATTCGATCTGGGTTTGCCCAAACACACATTTCTTTAGATTCACTACTAATTGATGTCGCTCCTGCAGCTCCAAGGTCTTCCTTTGGTGTTCCTGATGAGATTTTCTATCTTTGCTATGCACAAGTATATCATCAAAGAACACAAGTATAAACTTTCGCAAATAATATCTAAAAATATCATTCATAAGAGAGTGAAAAGTAGAAGGTGCATTCATTAATCCAAATGGCATAACCTTGAACTCATAGTGCCCATCGTGAGTGTGGAAAGCCGTTTTGGGTTCATCTCCCTCTAATGCGAATTTGGTGGTAGCCTGACTTGAGGTCCAGCTTGGTGAAAATTGTTGCTCCTCCCAACTCATCCAGTAACTCATCAATGACTGGAATTGAATACTTGTTAGGTACAGTGATGTGATTCAGGGCTTTGTAATCAACACAGAACCTCCAACTACCATCTTTTTTCATTACCAGCAACACTAGGCTTCAGTAGGGACTCGTGTTGGGTTGTATTACCCCTGCCATCAGCATCTCTCGGACTAACTTCTCAATTTCAGCCTTTTAGGCATGTTCGTACCTATATGGATGTGTGTTGGTGGGCTGCGAACCTTCTCTGATGGTTATACAGTGGTTGTGAGTGCGTCTTGGTGGTAATCCCTTAATGGGTTTGCACACAGCAGGGGATTCCTCAAGTATCCTAGCCTCATCACCTTGTTCAATTGGTCGGGCTTCATCGTCTTGCTGCGGCAAGGTTGCTAGCTCAATGATGCACCCTACCCTAGTTTCCTAAATATTCTTTTTTTAATTACTCGAAGTGAAACTTGGGCTTGCAACAGAGAAGGATCTCCCTTGAGACACACCCACTACACACCCACTGCTTTCCCACCTTTATTTTCATATAAAGCTGCCACAAGTTCATACGTGTTTCCCCTAAAGACTCCAACTACTCAACCCCTAACACAAGATCCACTTTACCTAAATTAAATGGATAAAAGGACTATATTATCTTCATTCCTTGTATCTCAATTCCACTGTCGGGCACCTGAGGTTTGAAAACACTTTCTGCCCATCTCCGACTGTGAAAGCATACCTTGTAACGGTTTGGGTCAGAATTCTGAGCTCTTCGACCAATGCCGGAGCCACGAAGTTGATTAACACAGAGACACTTAGTTCGCCGCATGTCTTCCCTCTCAACTTTAGTGTTTGTTGTCCCGTAAGACCCACTACAGATGCCATGGATAATTCCATAGACATGAGCTCCCCTTCTTCACTGGGCTCTCTAGTTTCGGCCTCTGGTCCCTCCTCTTCTGGGCTGGTTTTATCCTCATCCAACACTAGGAGCCTAAATTGTCTGTTTTTGCACTTATGGTTTGGGCCAAACTTCTCCTCACACTTGAAACACAGGCCCAATTCACGCCCCTTGTTTATTTTAGCCTCTGAGAGACGCTTGCATGGCGCCACGCTCCCGCTGTTGCTAATCTAAGACATGTTAGGCCTCGTCTGCTTCCCTGGCGTCGACTTCATCTCTTCGATCGTTTTGCCTAATAGAGCTTTCGTCCCTGTTGAAAAGCCCAGATTCTTGGACGCCTCCACAGTGCTAAACTTTGGAGTCACAGGTTTCAGGTCATTCCATCGGCTCCCATTAAATGTTTTCATTGTCCTACTTCTCTTCTCCTCTAGTGCCTTTTCCTTAATTTTATTTCTATCCTCCACCTGTCCTGCATAGTCCATGAGTTCCTTAAGGCCCTTAGGGTGCATAAGATGTTCATCAACCCTGATGTCTTCATTTAAACCATTTAAGAAGGCCCCCATTAGCATCTCATCGGGTACTATGGCTAAAGGGGCTGATAATAGTTCAAACTTCTCCCTGAATTCAGCCACTGTTGCTTCTTGCTTAAGTTCCAAAAGACGTTGATGTTCCCCCCTTAATTGCCTACAATGAAACCGGTCTCTCACCTCTCTTTTGAACTCTTGCCATAAATGCATAGGGGTGCATGTTTCAAGCCACTGGAGTTAGGCTAAGGCTTTGCCCTTCAGACTCACCATGGTAGCATCTAGCTTTTCTGTTTCTCCAACTCCATTCACGTTAAAGTATTGCTCCACCCTAAAAATCCATCCCAATGGGTCCTCACCGTCAAATAGAGGGAGTTCAAGTCGGCAGTGCTTGAAGCCTTCATTCTGTCCCGTTTCTTCATGGACATTGGTATTGAACCTTGTATCCCTAGTTTCATTCCTTGGTTCATCCTCTGGTGGAGGCGGTGACAGCGGTAGTGGGTTGATAACTTCCAACGTCTTCTTTAATTCTTTCAACTGTCGTATGATGAGCATCGTAGAAGTCTCAACACTGGTAAGTTTCTCTATAGTCTCCCCTCGTTTCCTCTGCATTTCTTCCACAACTCGCTCCAAATGCTCAACTCTTCTATTTGTTCTAGTACCAATCATACCCCTGAGTACTCCGCTTTGGTACTAAAATGGTAGGACCAACACCAATAACAGATATTAAAGAGACCAATAACAGAAAAATGAAGAGAAATCCACCTGTGTCCTTTATTACTAATGGAAAATGTAGAGAATACAATCACTAGTCAGCTTCATACACACTAATTCCTATCTCAAACGTCACACAGAGATAGAAAACAAGAAAGAGCCTCCCAAACAACCTGGTTTTCAAGAGACCAGGTCCTCTCCCCAAAGAAGATTCTACTCCCTACCCTCCTGTCACCCCCCACCCTCCTTTTTACCCCCTTCCACTATCCTGACACTGTCAGGCTTCGTTAATTACTGTATTTTCCCCATTCTGCCCTTGTCTCCCCTGTCCCTAAGTATCTCCTTTGGGCCTCCGTTTGTATGCACGGCCCCACCTGTTGGAAAGCCCCACATAATATCTAGTCCTCTTTTGTGATTGATTCCCTTTATCTGTTTTGTCCGTATGTGTTTTTCTGCCTTCCTCTCATTATTTTGATGTTATCAAATTCAGTGGTTATCGATGCCCGCCATATAAGATTATTATTCTAGATGAGGCAGATTCAATGACCGAAGATGCTCAGGCATGTTTCTTTATATTTAGAATTTCTGACTTTGGTTGTTGTGAAGTTCTTTGTTCTCTCACCTCTTATATTCTTTTGTACAGAATGCTCTGCGTCGTACAATGGAGACTTACTCTAAGGTTACAAGGTTCTTTTTTATATGCAATTACATTAGCAGGTACCTTATCTGTCTTGTTATAACTTACAAATTACCATTCTTAGCATTTTTGCTATCACATATTTATGCTTCTATTCATGTCAATTTTTTGACTGAGAGATGTGCCTTTGGTTTTATAACAGAAAGGTTATAATTTTCTGTAGGATTATAGAACCACTCGCTTCAAGGTGTGCAAAATTCAGATTTAAGCCACTGTCAGAAGAAATCATGAGCAGTCGAATACTGTACATTTGCAAAGAAGAAGGGCTTTATCTTGATTCTGGGGTCAGAAGCAAAGAGATTAGAGCTTGTACAGCAATAGTGTTGTTTATAATATATATATATATATATACTGTGTTTATGGTGGTTTTGTAGACATCTTAGCGAAATGTTTGATTCTTCTTTACCTCTGTAGGCTCTTTCAACCTTTAGTTCCATTTCTCAAGGAGATCTCCGTAGGGCTATTACATACTTGCAGGTGAGATACATTCTTTGATATCATATTTTTGCACTTCAAAGATGTGAGTTATAGTACTTCTAATTTTGTGATTTCAAATGATGGTTGTGTTTTCTGTAATTTTAGTGGGTAAGTAACTTTGTGAATTGAGCTGAAACAACTCGTGAATGTTAGTGTGCGTGTGTTAATGGGCATGATTCCAACTCGTTCTGCTCTATACCACCAAGCAACCTTGCTAATTTCTTTAATATTTAGTTATCTACCAAATAGTTTTCCAAGTTTCATTGATAGTAAGTCTGCTATATGCTGTCTTTCACCTTATGCGTGTAAAGCTAGTCTATGGGAAAAAATTCGGATTCTCTTGTGCACAGTAGTTGATTAAAACTTAGTGGTACTGCAAAGAAGTTTTGCTTTATTTGTTTAGGTACCCTTCATTTGAGAACACCTTAAAATCTTGTTATTTTTTTTTTTAATGACGCAGTCTTTCAAAAAGAAAAGGGATGAGGTTTCTTTTTTTAATTATTCATGCTATAGATTTTAATCTTCACCTTTTCAGCTTTTGGTAGCTTAATCTCTTCTCTGACAACAGCAATGAGCAGAGCTTGGCGCAAGGTGTCAAGCATCTATGCATAGTTACTTTTCCCGTTTGTCATTTGAGCTAACATATTGACATTGCAGTCAGCTGCCCGCTTATTTGGATCTTCAATTTCTTCAAAGGACCTGATTTCTGTCTCTGGGGTAGGTCGTGGTACTAAGTTTCCTTTGTCTTGTTAAGTTTTCAGGAAAGTTAAAATATGGTATGCAATAAAAATTGTCTGTAGTCATTATGATTGGCATAATGTCAGCAGAAACTGGTTATTATGTAGTCAATGATGTTTCTGCTTAATGGTATCTTTCTGACCTAAAAAGGTTGAAGGGTTTGAATTGCAACTGTTGCTTTTATTTGCTCTTTTTTTATTTAAATGATTCCTTCCCTCGCACCCTCCCTCTAAACTGGCTTAAAAATGTCTGTTGCGCATTTTGATATAGAAGTTCACTTCTCAGTAAATAATATATGCTATTTTGTGTTTAAGGCTGAATTTTTTTGTTCAAAGTGGCTTCCTATATGAAATCTTCTGTTCTTGCCACGATACTGACTTATTGACAATTTTTAGAATAATAAACTGATCGTTAATTAAGTCATGTATTTATCCTAGACACCATTTGCGTTTTGAAGTTTTCATTGGGAACACTTGTTTATTTAAATTCGTTATACTTTATTCATTTTCACCTTGTCATTTCCTGACTCTATAAAATCTCTCAATATATAAGGTCATTGCAACAGAGGTTGTGCAGGCTTTTCTTGCAACCTGTAAAAGTTGTAATTTTGATTTAGCAAACAAGGAAGTTAATGATTTCATTGCTGAAGGATATCCAGTCTCTCAGTTACTGATTCAGGTCTGTTTCTCCAGTTTGGCGAATCCTTTTTTGCCAGTAATTGCAGAATCAGTTCTTTTATTAAAGGATACTGCTTTTTCTTTTTCTATTTTAATCCAGTTATTTGAGGCCATTGTTGAAGCAGATGATATATCAGATGAACAGAAGGCAAGAATATCCAAGAAATTGGGTGAAGCTGATAAGGTGCTTTGTGATCCTAATGTTTTGTCTGAAGTTTTGACTATGATATTTTGGATTTCAAAACTGTAGTTTAGCCTGCTCCTAGGTTCGGGCTTCAACACTTTTTAACTGGCTTTTAAAAGCTTAACAAGTTTGCTCAAGGCCTGTGCGGCACATGGCTTATTTATTGCTTGTGGATTTGCAGTGCCTTGTTGATGGTGCTGATGAATATTTGCAGCTTCTTGATGTGGCCAGCAATACAATTCGAGCTTGTTGTAACATGCCAGAGGGATTTTCTTTCGAGGGCTAGATAGGAATGTAAAATTGTCCACATGCAGCTTGTTAAATCTTTCAAGGGCCATTTTTAAAATTCTTGCTGTAGTTAATTTTAACTTAAAAAAGTGAAAAGCAATTGCACTCCAAGTGAGTTTTGAGAAAACTCGAGGGCCATTGAGATTTGATTTCTAACGCTCATCATCGATCTACGATGGGCTTTTTTTTTTTTGTTTTTTTTTTGTTTTTTTAAGGGAGAAAACTCGAGTCTACTGTAATTCGCCCTTTGTAATGGTGGCAAGTTCAGAGTCGTGGGTTTGTGGCTTACAATTGTGTACGTAATCTGCATCTATCATTTCATGCTTTCAAATGGCCAAGGATTTGACTGAATCTTTGAAATTGTGGGTTTTAATTTTATTGTCCATGTGAGGAGCTTGTTGGTGTATGATATGTGAATATATTAGTATTTTTTTTTTAAATTTTGGAGGCATGCTTTGATAAAAGAAAACTTTCAAGATTTGATTCACATAAATTTGTGTGTGACAAGCACAAATTTAAAAAGAGAGTCTATCTTAAAAGATTAGTCTGTTAGGAGAGAAAGTCTTTCGAACTTATAAATCTCACACTATTTGTAAGGCTTTTCGATGTAAGATTCATGACAATATTACTTTGTCAAGAGCCGATGTCCTCGGTAACTTCATTCAACAACAATTTATTTAGCCATTTGCCGGTCAGAATCTTCCGTGGGTAGTTCTTTTTATGACACCAACCTTTCAATAAAAGTATCAATGTAACTAGTACAAGTTTAAAGGGAGAGCTCATTCTAAAATATTAGTTTGTTGGGTGGGAGGGTATTTTAAATTTATAAACTTCACACCACTTGTAAGGTTTTTCGATGTGGGACTCGTGACAATACCACTTCGTTAAGAGCTGATGTCCTTGGCGGTTTTACTCCATAACATTTTACTCGGCCTTCTGTCGCTTAGAATCTTCTATGGGTAGCTCTTTTCATGACATCAGACTCTCAATGAAAACATCAATGTGACAAGCATAAGCTCGGGAGAGCTGATTTCAAAAGGTTAGCTTATTAGGAAGGAGAGCTTTTTAAATTTATAAACTCCATACTACTTGTAAGGCCTTCAACGCGAGACTCGCGACATTTTGCTGATAAAAAAAAGGTCGTGACGATGAGTTGAAGATGCTTTGCCCATGCGTAGCCACCTGTGACGGATTGGGGGTGGGGAGTGCAAATTTTTTGACAAAATTACTTAGTTTTGCCTTATAAAAAATGATAAAATTAATTCTTACCCCTCCCACTGTTATGTCATTTTGTGTTTTGGCCCCCACACTATTGTTTCTGGATCTGTCATTGGTTGCCCCTACTACCCATGACATGATTTTAGAGTTGAAACTTCGCTTATTTTAGTTTTCGGCGTAGTTGTCATTTGAAGCAAAGAATGCATGTGATTATTTCCATCCTTCCATTGTATACCATGGAGTTGGGACTAGCATAATACAGTGTTCTAGTAGAGATGTACCTCCCAAACTAACCCATCTATTCGCAGAAAGTAAGTTGAGATAACATAAATCAGTAATTTTAGTTGTGATCATAAAAAAATATTTTTTATTCTGAAAATTTATTTTCCTTTTCTAAATACAAATTTTAAATCCTCAATAATAGATAAATAAATAAACATTTGTGATTCCTTAACTAAATAAAACATTTATTTTATTTATATGTGAAATAATTTAAAGGATAGTAAGGTTGGATGCTTCTTGAATGAGAATGTCTTTAGCAAGACCAACTAAACAAAAAAAGGCATGCATAATGGGAAAAAATGGATAGCAATAAATTGCTTAAGCTAGAAGTGAAAATATAGGCCAACTAGGATTATATGGCCATATGGATTGGTTCATACAGGTCAAATCATATTGATTGCCCATATGAGTTGGGAAAAAGTAAATTAAGAATGTCAACATAAATCATGTAGATTAGTGGGCTAAATGGTTCAACTTACAAACCAAATTAACTTTTCCCCCTTTTTTGTTTTTTTTTAAAGTTATGTAAAAATTATACATATCGATATTACATGCAACTTAAACTTCACATGATAACATGATTATCTATATTAATAACACAAAATCAAATTACATCATAATAAAAATATAATTAAAGTGACATTTGATATAAAAGCGTAGTATTGTAATGTCAAACTAATTTTTTTTAAAAAATAATGACATCCAACTAATTTCAACCACTTTTTTAGTTTGTGTAATTGATTAAAAAATCTTATAAAAATTAACTAAGGGAGTGCATATAGGAAGAGGGGTTAATTAGTTAGGTGGCTTCTATAGATGAAAAAAGATGAACAGTTTATTTCACATTTTGATAAAACATGTAAATTGACATATAGATATTTTAAGTTCAATTTATCAAAGACAAAGCGAGGCCATTTCTAGCCTAAAAGCCATTCAGCTAGGCCCAACTCAATGTTGAGAAAAAGGTCTAATAGTGAATCTCTTATCCCCTATTTGATTTTTCTCTCCCCTTCCTCGTAGAGCCTCCTCTTCAAATTGGGAGGGGGGATTAGGAGGGATTCCTCTCTCTTCCTCTCCCTCCCCTCCCTCCTTCATTCCTTTCATCTCCTCTCCCCTCCTATCCAACCAAACATAGCTCTTTTGAGACTCAACTAGAAACAAATCCTATGTGTTATACAAGTATTAAAAAAATCATAAATTATGTATTTAAATATTATTTATTATAGTGAAATAAAAAATTGAAAAAAAATAAAAAATATTTATTTGACTTAATATAAGTTAATTTTAATTAAATGTTAATAATATATATGTAATGTTCACCTAACATTATCATGTTACTTATCAACTAAACACCCTATCATGGTAATTAGGAGTTAACTAACTTCTTTTGGCTTACCATGATAGAAATGATTAAACAATTGATAATTTTAAAACATTTATAAGCTGGGATCCCAATAAAATCATTTTTAAATTGTTTGAACTCAAACCTATATTAAAATCAAAGTATAAAACTATTTGGAAGCATGGTAATTTTGAACAAAATAAGATAAAACATTGAAACAAGGGTAAAAACGTTATTTTTCCCTAGTTTGGTCCATTTGCCATGATGTTGGTGTCATTCATCACGGTTAATGACAAAAAGAAACCAAGTCACGACTAAATGTCCAACACACTACAACCAAAAGTGCTTTGTGTCATACATCACAATGTATATGTCATGTGCCATAGCGTATCATACTGTACCGAATGTCCCGTGGTGCTAGCTTGATCATATGAATTTGTTCTCTTACATCCCCACCCATACATATCCACGCATACCCTGGGTGAACTCTCACCCCTTATAATCATGCTTTTCACACTTTACAACATATCAATCACTACTTTCATAATTTCCACTATACACTTAAATATAAATAAATTCATTACAGTTTGAAATCCAATAGAAGTTTTGTAAACATTCCCAAATCATATTGCATGCCAAGATCATTTGTGATGCAAAATCATGTACTAAAAGCACAATCATCAAAATCATAGCTTGATATATGCATATTCACTTCTACACAGTTATAATAGCTATTAAACATAACAAACTATATAGTTATCTTAACCTTTCTATCTAATAGAAAGGGTTACTCATGTTTCACAACCCTATTCAAGCTTCTTTAGCTATTCACGCAAGAATCTACACAATTTAGGTACCCAGAGTCAATTACTCTATTGAATAAAAGTGTCAATTATAGTAATTTAGCACCTAATTGCCATCACTTCCATAATTCATACTCGCTCACGCATATTACAATCGATTACCACTTAATACAAGCTTTAACTCCCTCACAATCAAACTCTCTCTCACTATTCTCTTTCTAGATTAGGTTAATTTGAGCCTATAATTTCAAAGCTTTATTGGTCCGACTCAAACTAGTCACAAAGTACTAGTTTAGTCCTAGAGAGCCTTTTTATTACTATAAGGTAAGAAATATAATAATAGAAAGGTCTTTTGGGACTAAACTAGTACATCTTGTGATGATTTTGATTTGACTCATTGGATGGCCTTACTTGATCAAAGGAAAGTAAGTTCTCTTTGTTTTGTAGGTGACATGGTTGAAAGCCCATCTTCTCTGACAAGGCTTGAACTTTTATAGATTCCTAACCTTGAGGAATGAAGGTTTTCCTAAAAAAGAATAGAGGCTATGTGTACCATTCAAAGCATTAAGGACAAGCTTAAAGAAAAAGAGGAGGCCATAAGGGTGAATAAGAAGCTAGACTTGAAGCAACTCATTCCTTTTTACTTGGAGCCACCAACCTTGGACTTAAAGCCTTTGCCATCTAACCTTAAGTATGCATATCTCCTTGGAAATGAGAAACTTTTAGTAATAATTTCTAACTCTTTGTCTCTTGAAGAGGAGAATGTATTACTTTATGTCTTGAGGAAGAATATGCTTGCCATTGGTTGGATTCTTGTTGACATTCCAGGGAATGACCCTATTGTGTGCACTCATAAAATTTTTCTAGAGGACAATGCTAAACCCATTAGGCAACCTCAAAGGAGACTTAACCCATTGATTTTAGATGTCGTAAAGAAAGAAGTGGTTAAGTTGCTTAGTGTTGGGATCATATATCCTATAGCAGACAGTGAGTGGGTATCTCCAATCTAAGTTGTGCCTAAAAAAGAAGGGATTATTGTGGTAAAAAATTAGAAAGGAGAGCTTGTCCCAACTAGAGTCTAAAATGCTTGGAGAGTGTGCATAGACTATAGAAAGCTTAATAATGTGACTAGAAAAGACCATTTTTCTTTGCCTTTTGTTGATCAAATGCTTGAAAGATTAACTTTTAAGTCTCATTATTGCTTCCTAGATGGTTTCAATAGGTATTTTCAAATTCCCATAGCTCCTTGTGACCAAGATAAGACGACCTTTACATGCGCCTTTGGTACTTTTACCTATAGGAGGATGCTTTTGGTTTATGTAATGCACTTGAAACTTTTCAAAGATGAATGATGTCTGTATTTTGTGATTTTATTGAAAATTGCATGGAAGTTTTTATGGATAATTTTAAAGTATATGGTGAGTCCTTTGAGTTATGCTTGCATTCTTTGGATAAAGTACCTGGTATGTGCATTGAGAAGAAACTTGTTCTTCATTTTGAAAAATGTAATTTTATGGTTGACAAAGGCATTGTCTTGGGCCATTTAATTTCTTCCATGAGCATAGAGGTGGATAGGGCTAAGGTGGGTGTAAGTGCTTCATTACCATATGCTACTTATTTGAAAGACTTGAGATCCTTTTTAGGACATGCTGAATTTTATAGGGGATTTATTAAAGGTTTTAGTGAGATAGCATTGCCTATGTCTAAATTGCTTG